AAAAATGTTTATGCAAATGAATAGCTCTCATCAGTATATGAAGTTTGATAAAAATTTCTTGGATGAGCTAAACACTAATTTAAGAAAAGTGTGGTCAAGGTCAGGGAAAGATCAAGGTAAAAAAAGTTGATGCAGCTGCACAGCTCTAATCAGTATGTATCAACATGTGAAGATTGATAACACAATCTTGAATGGTATGTTTAAAACTGAGCTAAACACTAATTTAAGAAAAGTGAGGTCAAGGTGAAATGAAAGGTCAAGGTCAAAATTGTTGATGCAGTTGAATAGCTCTCATCATTATGTATCAGTACATGAAGGTTGAAAAAAATATCTTGTAAGGTTTCTTTAAAACTGAGCTAAACACTTAATCTAAGAAAAGTGTGGTCAAGGTAAAAAAAATTTGATGCAGTTGCATAGCTCTCATCACTATGGTTGATAACACCATCTTGCATGGTTTCTTTAAAATTGAGCTAAACACTAATTTAACAAAAGTGAGGTCAAGGTAAAAGGAAAGGTAAAAAAATGTTGATGCAGCTGCATAGCTCTCGATCTATCAATATACGAAGTTTGTTGTTAATATCTTGGATTAGTTAATTTGAAACTGAGCTAAACGCAAAGTGTGACGGAAGGATAGACAGATGGCAAGACGGAAGGACGGAAGACGGACATGACAAACACTATATGCCCCAGCCATATTCATGGCGGGGCATAACAAATGCCTGATAATGTACCTCTGAGTCATTTTTTGGAAGGAAACTTGTTGAATTTGCATTCATTTCTTCAATGATAAATTCTTGGGGGGAAATATATATTATAATGGATGTTGTCTAACCTTAAACAGGATTGTAGGCAAGAAAGGCAAACAAGAGACTAACTTGGATATCTACAATGTCATGTGGGTCCCAAAAATGATCTTTGTACTTTAGGAACTAATCAATGACTACCATACAAACAAATTTACACAAGAATGTAACAATTCAATAAAGATCAAGTCGAGAAAAGACTTTTACATTTTAATAAATACAGAATACATAACTGTCCATCACAAAAAATACTTATGGCATTTATATAGTTACAATGGAGTAATTAGTAGTTTCACTTCAATAAACAATCTCTCGAATGAAATTTTACGTTTACATGATAATAATTAAGTATTGCATTGTTTTACCTGGTATACACAGAATGTAAGATTTACTGAATTTAATTTTTCACAAATCTATAAAACTTTAATTCTCATAAAAAATGATCCTGCTACAATAAGTAAATATGAGTTTCTAAACAGATTCTGTTATCTGTGATAGAATTTGCCTTGACCCTTCCTTGAATATTCAAGAGGCCTGTTCAACAGCACAAACGTTCGTGAGCGCTCGCCAAAATTCCTTATACCAGAAATGTTCACAAGCGCTTGCTCTGTTGTACAGGTCTCTGGTTGCTCAAGCTACATGAACAACTACTTGGGTTCCACACACACAGAGTTCAAATTCTGTGAAAAACCTTTTGCAAAACACGCTTTAATCATATTAATTTGTCCCCTAGAATTCAGGAGCAAAGAAAACCTGTTTAATTTTCAATACAGTATATGATAGACTGGGCCTGTACCATGTTTTACAATATATGACTAACTGAAAGATAAAAAAAATCTACCGTTGCAATTTCTTAAAGAACAAAAACCATGATTTTTTTTACATGTATATTGAAAGAGGTGTATGTGATACTATGTACATTGTAAACAATTTTTCTGATACATGTACAAGTAGATTTTTTTTATAGGAAACACAGGTAAACAAAGTTTAGAATCATTGTTGGTTTATGATAAATTATTATGGCAAAGGTTCTAAAATGAGGCAAACATGTTTTATATTTAAAAATGTTCTGTTTCTGTTTCTATAAACCAGTGATTCATATAAAACAGGAGTAAAAATTACATATGAAAATATAGCAACGTATATGTAACTATCAGTATCTTTTTGGTTAACATTATAAACATAATTACATTATCTAGTATAATGAATTTAATCTTTACTGGTATACATTAAATAAATGATATAAGCATAATAATTATAATACAAGACTCCTTGTACAGGTTCCTGATGATTCCCTTACAGATGCTACTTGGTGTCACTATCTACATACAGGTATCAGTAGTTTGTATAATACATGTAATCACATCGGGCTTCATTTTCACACTGAATACAATGACTTCTAGTCTGGAAAATCCATACAAAGTGCCCTGAATAACTTTAAGTTAGTACAGACTTCCTTCAATGGTCAAATCTACAATTCTCTTTTGTTGTTGCTGGTATGGTCGAGAGTAAACCCTCTTAACCTCAAATGTACAGAACAGACAGTGATTAAGATTCTAAATAATTAAGTCTTCATCACGCTTCACTCTCTCCATCTATGGCATTTTGATCTTCTAGGATTGGAACAATTAAATTGTCTTTAGACATAAGATTATACTTTGTTACAAACTTTGTGAATCTTCTGCACAGGTAAGTTTCATTCTACAACAAATAAAAAAGAAATTTTATATAAAAACACACTGAAATCACAAAAAAATTTATTGAAAGTACTAATATGAAATTATTAGGGTATTGTATAAAAAGAATATTAGCTAATGCACAAGGTCACTGATTTTATAGTGTGATAGAGTTTTGTTTGTTTGACATCCCTTCAAGACTTTTTTGTTCATTTTGAGACACCGGACCACTACTTGCCAGTAGAGAGCTGCAAATCTACACCTGTTCTTGCCACTTAATACCTCTGAGCAGCAAGGAATTTTTTTGTGCCAACATTTTCTGTGACACAGGACCTAAATTTATAGGGTCTCATTCTAAAAACAGGTCTCCACATCCTATGGTGGTATTCAAACGAATAACTTAAGAAGGATTAACTCCTTACTCTGCGACCCTAGAGCAAATACTCTAACCACTGCAAGGTTTGATAAACAAGAGGCCCATGGGCTTTATAGGTCACCTGAACATCATGCAACAACTTTCCAGTGATTGAATTTGGTTCATGTTTCAAGCCAAATGCGATGGCTTTCAAAATTTTGAAAGAGGCACCATTGATCATCATAACTATACAATTAGCAATTGCTGAGTTTGGTTACTTAATACCCATAGGCAGGGTAGAGGAACAAAAAATGCATTTCAACTAATCAGTAATATTCAGCAATTATCACCACACATGAACCCCTGACCCTAAGTCCACACATTGCACAACTTTTGAAAAGGCACCCTTGCTCTTCAAAAATATTTGATTAATACCAAGGAGCAGATTTCAAACAATTCATTAATTTTCAGTATTTAAGTAGAAGCCCTCCCCCCCCCCCCCCCCTCTATGGTACCCCTAACCCAGGGGCCTTGAAATTCCTAATTCGGGAAGAAGGTCCCTTGCTTATCATAACTATATAGGTAGTTCATTTGCTTAATACCCAGGAGCAGAGAAGAAAATTTTCAAAGATTTAATGTATTTTCACTATATACTGTAAATGTATTACATTTGGCGTGTACCATATTTAGCGGAAATGCAATTTGCAACAAGTTAGCGTAGATTTGATTTAGCGCTGTCTAAATGTGCTAGTTATAAATGTTAATATAGATGACATTTAGCAATGTCCTTAAATTAGCGGACTGGGCTTTCCGCCAAAATCGCTAAATAGAGTACACCGCTAAATGTAATACGTTTACAGTAATCAATAGAGCCCCAACCTAACACCAGAACCCTGATCCTGGGGCCATAAAATTCACAATATTGGAAGAGGCACTCTTGCTCATCATAACTATGTACATAGTTAGCTTATGCAATACCCAGGAGCAGAGAAGAAGATTTTCAAAGAATTAATGTATTTTCACTATATAGAGCCCTGCCCTAACACCAGAACCCCTGACCCTGGGGCCATAAAATTCACAAATTTGGTAGAGACACTCTTGCTCATCATAACTATGTACTTACTAATAGTTAGTTTATTCAATACCCAGGAGCAGAGAAAAAGATTTTCAAAGAATTAATGTATTTTCACTATATAATCAATAGAGCCCGGCCCTAACAACAGAACCCCTGACCCTGGGGCCATAAAATTCACAATTTTGGTAGACGCACTCTTGCTCATTATAACTATGTACTTAGTTAGTTTATTTATTACCCAGGAGCAGAGATGAAGATTTTTAAAGAAATATGATATACACAATATTTGTTCCTCTTCACCCATAGATGCTCTGTGCCAAATTTGGTTAAAATTGGTTCAAAGGTTGCAGAGAAGAAGCTGAAAATGTTCAAATGTTAATGCACAGCGCACGACGATGAACGAAAACAGATAGCAATAGGTCACCTGAGTTTACTCAGGTGACCTAAAAAAATCAACAAATAGACTGAGAGACAGACTGATATAGTTACTGCAAATATAGTTACTTCCAAAATATTTTTTTTTAGGAAATTAAAAAAAAAATCATAAGAAATTACAATTTTACCTCATACTCATCAAACAGTGTTCTGTGATGAAAGTAGGCATGAGAGAAAATTCTGTATACTCTTCTACATACAGAACCCAGCTTGTTTACTGATGATTCCTTTATACACACCCTGAAACAACAAAAGGATTTAAGGTTCATGTGTTGTGTGATTTCAATTACAATACAGTGATTGTTACATCACGAAGATAGCAATGTTTTATATTGAACCTCTGAATTTTTCTTGGATCTCAGCCAAGGAGGCCATGATTTAAACAAGCTTAAATATGCACTACCAGAGTGCTTAAAAATGCACTACCCGAGTATGCTTGCATATTGATATGGCTGAACTTGGTCATCTGTAACTGTTCACATGAAAAAGATTTTTACTAAACTCAACATGTTTAAGGAAATGTGAGGTTGAGTGCAAAATCAAAAGAAGGTCAGCGTAAAAAAAAAAAAAATGATGCAGTTCAATAGCACTAAAAACAGTTTTACTTCTGAAATCTTAAATCGAACTAAACACAAATTTGAGAATGGAAGTCAACGTCAGCTAAGACTATAAAATATGCATGAATTATTCACTACTGGTATACGTAGTGATATTAAACTCACAAAATCATTATTTATACTTTCCTTTTTTTAAACTTTATTCTGAGCTATAGATAATGTAGATTTTACCAGATATATATTAAGACAATCAGCTACACTCTAGATTTGATTTAGCACTGTCTGATGTTGCTAGTTATAAAAGTTAATATACAAGACATTTAGTGATGTACTTGAATTAACGGACTCTGCTTTCCACCAAAATCGCTAAATAGAATACAACGCTTAATGTGATATGTTTACAGTACATGTAAATTGGGCAATTTTAAAGTGGACCAAAAACCTATTTTATGCAATACGATTGAAAATAAGTTTTCAGTGCATCAATCAATCAATGATTACATAGAGAATAATACATACCCTTTTCCATATCACATCCTGTATCAGCCCTAGACACCAATATCAGCAAGAGGACCGAAGGTCCAGGGCTGATATTGGTCGAGGGCTGATTACAGGATGCGATGTGGAAAAGGGTATCTATTAGTATGTTTATTACATTCTTATTAATAAAATACAGCACACATTAAGTTGACAAGAAAATAAGAAAATAATCATGCATGGACTTCTTGGTCTCTTGTCTCATACAGTTTGGGTCAGACTTTCTACTTCTACAAAACATGTATTTCAATGCACTTGATCCGTAATTTGAAAATAATCTATCATTTGTAAATTAGATTATCCTTATTTTCAAAAAGTTAAAATTAAGAGAATGTGAACCCACCAAAAAATTGTGTTTGATCACAAGTACTGTTTTCTTGGTTTAATTTACTAGGGGTGTGACATTGATCCGTATCAGCCCTGCAGAGCTGATACGGCTATTGTGACGTCAGCCATATCGCATACTGTAAAAGCACAAATATTCGTGGGGGATTAAATTTCGTTTATTTCGTTGTTAACAATATTCAACGAAATTAAATCCCACACGAAATTTTATATGACTATATATTGAATAGGGTTACTTTCAAAACAACGAAATTAAATGCCCACGAAACTATTTTTGAAGACAAAACAACGAAATCTTATGCCCACGAAAATTTGTGCTTCTACAGTATGCAAAAATCCTGTATTTATTACTAAGCATGTAATAAAATTAATTAACTAGTAGATACATGTATCATGAACTTAGCTCATAAAAATGACATCCCGGACTCCGAATCCCATAAGAGTATTATATTAAATGGCAATTAAAATTTGCTATGATCAAAATAATAAGAGGCCCATAGGCCACATCGCTCACCTGAGAAGCTTTGACCATTCCGTTCTTTACCAGATTTCCCCTTAAAATACATATTGTGTCCCCATCCTACCCAACTGATCATAATTTAAACAATTTGAAATCTACACTACCATATGATGCTTTGATTCAACATTGTAAAACTTTGATTCCCCATTGTGGCCCTGCCCTACCCCCAGGGGTCATGATTAGAACAATTTAGAATCTACACTACCCTAGGATGCTTCCACTTAAGTTTCAGCTGTTCTGGCCCAGTGGTTCTTGAGAAGAAGATTTTCAAAGATTTTTCCTATATGTTACTATGTAAAACTTTGATTCTCCATTGTGGCCCCGCCCATCCCCCGGGGGTCATGATTTGAATAATTTAGAATATACACTACCCCAGGATGTTTCCACATAGGTTTCAGTTTTTCTGGCCCAGTGGTTCTTGAGTAGAAGATTTTCAAAGATTTTTCCCATATATTTCTATGTAAAACTTTGATTCCCCATTGCGGCCCTGCCCTATCCCCAGGGGTCATGATTCTTACAATTTAGAAATTTCACTACCTCAGGATGCTTCCACATAAGTTTCAGTTTTTCTGGCCCAGTGGTTCTTGAGAAGAAGATTTTCAAAGATTTTTCCCATATATTTCTATGTAAAACTTTGATTCCCCATTGTGGCCCTGCCCTATCCCCAGGGGTCATGATTCTTATAATTTAGAAATTTCACTACCCCAGAATGCTTCCACATAAGTTTCAGTTTTTCTGGCCCAGTGGTTCTTGAGAAGAAGATTTTTAAAGATTTTTCTCATGTATTTCTATGTAAAACTTTGATTCCCCATTGTGGCCCTTGCCACCCCCCTGGGGTCATGATTTTGACAATTTAATATCTACACTACCCCAGGATGCTTCCACATAAGTTTCAGCTTTTCTGGCCCAGTGGTTCTTGAGAAGAAGATTTTTAAAGATTTTTCTCATATATTTCTATATAAAACTTTGATTCCCCATTGTGGCCCCGCCCTACCCCCAGGGGTCATGATTTTTACAATTTAGAATCTACACTACCCCAGGATACTTCCATATAAGTTTCAGCTTTTCTGGCCCAGTGGTTCTTGAGAAGAAGATTTTTAAAGATTTTTCTCATATATTTCTATATAAAACTTTGATTCCCCATTGTGGCCTCGCCCTATCCCCGGGGGTCATGATTTGAACAATTTAGAATCTACACTACTCCAGGATGCTTCCACATAAGTTTCAGCTTTTTTGGCCCAGTGGTTCTTGAGAAAAAGTTTTAATGACCCCACCCTGTTTTTGTCATTTCTTGATTATCTCCCCTTGTGAGGGGACTTGGCCCTTCATTTTAACAATTTAAATTCCCCTACATCCAAGGATGTTTTGTACCAAGTTTGGTCAAAATTGGCCCAGTCGTTCTTGAGAAGTCGAAAATGTGAAAAGTTTACAAACGGACAGACAGCTAAACGGACGACGGACAAAATGTGATCAGAAAAGCTCACTTGAGTCTTCGGCTCAGGTGAGCTAAAAATAGTACGAGGTGCACAATGGCAAAAAGTAATTAAGATTCTATGAAAGTCTCAGTTTATTCTGTGGTATATAAGGAGCTACAAATAAGCAAGTGTATCCAAATTTTATAGAAAGAATGGCAAAGTACATGTTTTGCCATTTGGAATCTGCAAATATCTACCCACAGTCTTCGCGAAAAAGAAAAATCGCCACAGAACATTCGGACAGACAGTTAACACAATTTCACAGGACCAAATGAATTTTCACCGGTCCAAAACTTTTTCATATAATGATCATAACGATGTTTTTTCATAGCATATGAATCAGTAAACATGTATTAAGCTTTAAAAAAATATATGTTTGTTTCCTGTAACATTCCCAAAAAAGATAAGGGTCGGTAGGTCAGGAATTCTTTCTTTTCTTTTTTTTTTTTTTTTTGCTTATGGATGGCCAAACATCCCTGGACTGAATATACCAGGTGTCATATTTCCAGTGGACACCCAACATAGCATCCAAAATGGCTGCCTAGCGGCAAAAAACTTACTTCACATAGTTGTAGGGGGAAATTGTTGTTACAATAATGATTTATCTTTATATTTAAGGTAATTTGTAAACTAGATTGACATATTTTATGTCTCAAGTTATAAAAAGCTACAAGATAATTTTTGTTTAAATAAATGGAATCAGCTGATTGATCAAACGCGGTTTTGCCAATTGTCAGAAAAAAATCCACTCAGGGTCGGTCGGGTTACAGGAAACATTTTAACAAATATAATTTTTTAGTAGGTTTTAAAACAGTCACAATCAACAAATAAAATACGTTTTTAAAAGTGTGTTTTGGTATAAGATTAAGCGTCTATATGATGAAATAGAAATATAAAATTTAAAATCCAACCAAAACGAACCTCGGACAAACGGACCGATTTTACTAGATAGTGCATCGGACCAATCAGATTTTCACCTGTTTTGTCCGACGGACCGGTGCTTTTGGGATAGACTGTACCCAGATGAAATTATATTTAAGAGGTATAGGAAGAGTTGAAGATAAAGATGAGTAACCTCATTATTACAGAAAAATTGAGTGTCCATGTTTTGATTAATCAAAATGAAAAATAGGCGATGTACAATAGCACCATGTAATAAGGATTCTGTGAAAGTGTCATTAAATTTTATATGGGACAACCCCATTACTATTTACCCCTACTTTTCAAGCAGGGACGGTATATAAATAAGAAGTACCTGCTAGGGAAATACTTGTTACTGTTAAGTAGACATGCTGCCCCATCCAGTGTGTGTCTGGTGTAATCAATGGCTGGGCACTGAAATTAATGTAATATCAACTTACAACATTAATCAAACAAATTAATATCTCCCTATGTACATCCATTTACCTCGCCTCATTTGATTTTTCCTTGAAATCCAGGCTTACAATTGGTTGACATCTTTCATGTGTAGGGGTGTTCTACTTATACATAGTCACTTGAAAAATCAATACACGGTCAAAAGGAAATTTCATTTTTTTGTAAGAATTTTATTTAATATTTATAAGTGACAATGTTTGTTGACAATTAAAAGGTTAATGAACATCATTAACAACTCCTTTACTAAAATTCTTCAAAACTGTCCATATGTATTTCTGCACATAACATCCACTTAAACAATATTATGTAGCACAATGTGATGTGACCAAAGGCACATCATCAAATGATTGAGGAAACATATGTAGCTGAGAGAAACAATTTTACAACCCAGAGAAATCTTCATAAAATGTTATTTAAGGAACAAACTAGTAACAGAGTTTGTAGTGACCAGGCAGAGGATGATACCCACACAGCTACATCAAAAGTCATTATCTCTCATCCTAACTGTGTCAGTCATCTGAGTCCTATATTTCTATAACCAACAGCGTGCACAGCCATACCTATGTACAGAAAACCTCTTACCACCACTTCAGTTACAGCCATATTTCTTAACATCACTGTAGTTTTACAGCTATATGACTACCATGAATTCTTGATTATCTTTACTGTTCTTGAGAAGATGACTCAAGTTTTTCCAGCGCTATAAACAGTAAAACATGGTTTTTGCAAAAACATGCACTAACAATGAATTCACAATTACCTGGTAACGTTATTATTTGGTGTTATAAATAACTAATATGAATAATCACAAAGTTTCTGCTCTTGGGAAGTCAATTTTAAAGATTTTTAAGTTTTCCTAAGTAAAACTTAATTTGATTGCCCATAGCTAGCCCTGGGGTTAGGATTTGAACAAACTTAAACTTTCAAAAGTTTTTCAATACCTGAGGATGCCACTAAATGAGACAAATAATGAAATTAGATTTTTTTTGTTCTCAAGAAGCTTTTTAATCTTTTATTAATATAACTCTATGTAAAACATAGCTTATTCTGGCCCCACTCTAGCCTTGTGGGTATGATTTGAACAAATCTGAAATTTTACCATGTCTGTGATGGCATAATGTAGTAAAGATACATGGCATCCTACTAGCTTGGGTTAGTGGGTTAACCCTTTAGCTCAATCGGTAGAGCAATGGACTGGCAAGCCAGAGGTCCTGGGTTCAATCCCTAGCAGAGGCACAAAATTGTCTCCATTACATAATGGTCAGCAAGAAGAATATAAGAAGGAATAACTTTTCAACGATTTCTATTAATCTTTCCTTCAAATATGTCAAAAGACACCCTTCATTATTACCCAAATTGCTTTTGGAAAGTTTGGTTGAAATTCCCTCATTGATTCTTGAGAATAACATGAACAAGTCAAAATAAGAAAAAAAAAATATGGAAGACACACAGCAGAGGCAATACATCAGGTCTGGACGATTTCCAAATATTGAAGTCAAGAACAATAACTGAAAGTTGGTATAAATATACATCATATATACGTAAATATTTTTCTATCCAATCAGACAGCAGTGTTTTTACACACCCGAAAACATATTTTAAGGGAACAAAAAGAGTACACATGCTTTTGTTTTTTCTTTAATAAAGACTTTTTTTAAAAAAATATCTTTAGAAGTAAGATGACAAGTTTGGAAGAATAAGGCATTCCCCACATATTTACCGTGAACGAACTTGACATTTTCATCTTGAAAATAAACAAGAGGCCCATGGGCCTTATAGGTCACCTGAGCATTATTCAACAACTTTCCAGTGATTGAATTTGATCCATGTTTTAAGCTAGATGCTATAGCATTTACAATTTGGTCATCATAACTATTACACTTAGCAGTTCCTTAGTTTGGTTACTTTATACCCATAGGCAGGGTAGGGGAACAAAAGATGCATTTCAACTAATCAGTAATATTCAGCAATAATCAGTAGTGCCGCTACCACACATGAACCCCAATCGCAATATCTCGGGCCTTTCCGTCAGAGTTCGGAAAAACAACCTCAAATGTATTAACATCGCCGGATGTTAAAAATTTATACATTTCCTGTTTAGCCAAATGTAGGATATACGGAGTTAGAAGTCTCTTCTATAGTATATTTTAGGTAATATCATTACATTGAATAAAGTTAAATTTCAAATTCCACAGATAAAAGGTCTCCATGCATTTATTTTAAAGATCGTGAAAAAGGAGGGTTGTCATGGCGTCTACCATATACATTCGAGGTCGTTTTTCCGCTAGTCAGAAAGGCCCGAGAAGTTGCGATTGACATGAACCCTTGACTCTTAGGCCTAGATCCACACATTGCACTATTTTTGGAAAGGCATCCTTGCTTTTCAAAAATAATTGATTAATACCAAGGAGCAGATTTCAAACAGTTCATTCATTTTCAGTATATAAGTACAGCCCCCCCCCCTCTATGGTACAACTGACCCTGGGGCCTTGAAATTTACAATTCTTGAAGATTAGGGATTGCTCATAACTATATAGGTAGTTCATCTGCTTAAAACCTAGGAGCAAAGAAGAAAATATTCAAATATTTAATGTTTTTTCACTATACCTGTATAATTAAAACAGCCCGCCCTAACACCAGAATCCCTGGCCCTGGGGTCATAAAATTCACAATTTTGGTAGAGGCACTCTTGCTCATCATAACTATGTACTTAGTTAGTTTATATAAAACCTAGGAGCAGAGAAGAAGATTTTCAAAGAATTCATGTATTTTCACTATATAATCAAAAGAGCCCCGCCCTAATACCAGAACCCCTGACCCTGGGGCCATAAAATTCACAATTTTGGAAGAGGCACTCTTGCTCATCATAACTATGTACTTAGTTAGTTTATATAAAACTTAGGAGCATAGAAGAAGATTTTCAAAGAATTCATGTATTTTCACTATATAATCAAAAGAGCCCCGCCCTAAAACCAGAACCCCTGACCCTGGGGCCATAAAATTCACAATTTTGGTAGAGGCACTCTTGCTCATCATAACCATGTACTTATTTAGTTTATTTAATATTCAGGAGCAGAGAAGAAGATTTTCAAAGAAATAATGCATGTTCACTATATACTTATTTAGCCCCGCCCTAGCACAAGAACCCCTGACCCCAGGGCCATGAATTTCACAATTTTGGTAGAGGACTCAATGCTGATTACAATCATGCAAACAGTTTGACTGCTTGATGTCCAGGAGTAAAGAAGAAGATTTTTAAAGATTGCATTAATTTTAGTGGTTTTGGCCCCACCCCTCAGGCCCCAGGGGGGCAGGAACATGAAATTCACAATTTTTGTTCCCCTTCACCCATAGATGCTTTGTGCCAAATTTGGTTGAAATTGGTTCAGTGGTTGCAGAGAAGAAGCTGAAAATGTTCAAAAGTTTTTGACGACGAACGACGAACGACGTACGACGAACGACGGACGACGACGGACAAAAACAGATAGCAATAGGTCACCTGAGTGACTCAGGTGACCTAAAAAATTAAATAAATGCATGTAACAATGCGATTGTTTAGGGAGGAATAGACCAGACCGTCAAGTTATTATCAACCATAATTATACAATTTGCATATCATACTTTTTGTCGGTAACAATAACTTTGATATGCTGTCCAATTTTCATCAATAGCGCGTAGTTGTCATGGGTATAGGTCTATTGCATACATGTATTCATCGTATAGACTACATGTAGTTATAAAATATCACGGGTTTCATGAGCGCTGAATACAATGTTATATACACTTTAAATGGACATCGTAAGGAAACGTGTAAAACGCTAAGAAAAGTGAATGAAGATTAATGCTTTTTCATCATAACTTACCATGCAAACCAGAAACTGGACGATTTTGTAATAAACACTCTGGAAATAATCAAAATGTTAAAATTACTCTCATCCAAAAACATTTTCATACCAGGCTCTACAAATTGAAAATCTGACGTATTTATATCACATTTCTTAACACAAGTCAGACTTTTGGGATAGCTACCTCGATCGCTCGTATTGACATATTTTTAATCCCACTTAGAATTTATTCTAACCTTTCAAGTCGTGTTTGTTCATGGTAGAATTGTCATTTATGCTGTTTCATTCCTAAATATGCATAACTTTTTACAAAAAACTTTATTCTAAAAAATCTTTTGAGCAGAAAAGTTTAAAACCATGTTTAATTTATTTTCTGATGGGTTTGTCTAAATGCCGTTTTCTGATTGGTCAGGAAGATTAGCACCTTGTTTATTCTGTGTATTTATAGCAATTCACGTTTACCGTGTTTGACTTCCATATTTGGAAATCGCCCAGACCTGTACATGAAATGGCAAATGGATGATTGAAACCCTTCAATCAAAAAATTTCACTTGCCTTCAGCTAAGATGTGCTTATAAAAAAGGAAATTATAATTCAGATATAGTACCTCTTTCGGTGTTTTATGAGCAGCACATAAAAATATCCACTGCTCTGTAGCTGTCATTTGTGAACACTGCTCCGGCTGACATTCAGTCTATAAATCAGAAGAAAACATTTTATATCTTAATATCAAAATACAATGCTCCCTAATCATGTCAAGAAAAAATCAGAAATTCCATATTCTCTGTCACTGGCATATTTTAAGCATATTAAGAGTTGAAATTCGAATACAATGATACGAATATTTCAAGCTGGCACCATTTTTGTTGTTGTTTTATCATTGCTTAGATCTTTAGCTCTCTGGCTTCTCTTTTAAACCAGTGAGCTTAAGTTTTGAAGCTAAGTTACTGCTATAAATGAGAACATGAAAGTTGAACACACTTACCTGTAATTTAACACAAAGTCCATTAAGTTCCATACAAAACTGTCTAAAAAAAAAAGAATCAACTATACTCTTTTACTGCAAAAAACAAAAAATGAGGCCACTGAGTAATGATGCTCACTTGAATCACCTTGTTCCCTCTTTTTTCTTTTTTTCCGAAGCCTTTTAATTCCCCACCCCATTTAAATTCTAATGTTAAATTTTGATCTATTTTAGCCAAAACCTTTCACAGGGCTATGATTTGAAAATTGTGAAAAGGCTACAGACACATAGATGGATGAACAAATGGACAATGGAAGCTAGACTGACAGAATCCATTACAGATGTGATCAGAAAAGTTTGAGCTTTCATCTCCTGTGAACCAAAAACATCTACACAATAAAAAATACTTAAACTTTCAAAGTAATGGACGGATGGAGACTAGTTAGAATAATCTGTGTCTCAGGACAAGCCCTCACCACAGTTAGAATACGTCCCATATACTTGCAAGATAGCAAATCGGAGCAGATCTGCTCCCAATGATTTTAAAGAATTCAAATGGGTTGTGCTGAAAATAACTACCAAATTAATCAAAACTAACCTTTTTGAGATTAACTGTCTATGCCTTTTGTTTAAAAAATTAATCCATATAAAGACAAAAATTCAACTATATGAATTTCCTGAATGTTTTTTCTCACTACAAATCTAAACGCCATTTTTACATTTGGAATTTTCTGGATTGTTTGTAGTAAGTGCAGTGAGTTAAAGTTATCACCTTGTTTATTTTGCAACACTGGCAATACATGGAACAAATTCTATCCTTAATCCGGGTCCGTATAACAATATCATTTAAACCATAGAACGTTCTATCTTAATGGAGACCAACATGAATTTAATCCTTTCAGGCACTCTTAATTGACAAGGAATTAGGAATTTATAAGAGGAACAAGCAGAATATAAATATATATTACATGTATCCTACTGCATTTCTGTATTTACCATTATATGAACTGAATAAAATGTACTACACTGATGAAGTTCTCTTTTTTGTCTTATGTCAATTTTTCACAGAGAATCCTTTGAAAACAAGATTCAGTACAAACCTTAAATGTTCATATTTCCAAACCCCCTCCTCTATGCCTTCTGGTGGAGTCAAGATCTCATCAATGTTTGTAAAATCCTTCCGTATGGCCTGCTGTATAAACTAAATGGAAAAAATACTGTTATGTGGATGACATTTACTTGAACATTACCAATGATTACCATGATTTAATACAGTTATTTTTGGTAATTTTATAATTGTCAACACGTGCACTTAGAGATATGGCCCATGCAGTCAGTCATATCTACAAGGATGGAAAAATTGTTTTCATCATCAACTCTTACAGTACAGGCCACGCGGATCCCGTATTTCCCGCGCCCCGTTGCGGTATAATCACAACGCGGTATTTGGCCAGGTGAGACAGGTAAACCGCGTTCCCTCCGCGGAAATTTCATCACCTACCTGTCCACGCCGCGGTTAAATCATCGATCAATTACTGACAATTAGTATCGTAAACAAACGGGAGTTATCTCCCCGAATTGTAATTTGCGAATTTTCCCTGTAACAAAAAAATAACGACACTGTATGTTTATTAAAAGAAGTATTTTCATTTATTTTGCTATGATAAATAGAAAATAAACTAAGAAAAAATATATTTATTTTTGTTTCTAAAATTATATATCAATATTTGAATTAGAATTAAAAATTTTATTCAATTGGTTAATTTCTTGCGTTATTGAGAGTCTAACAAGAAACAAAATTAGATACTAAAAAAATTAGGTTTTTTTTTTTTTTTAATTTATTCATATCATATGCGAACTTTAATACTGCTGAACTCAGACAGTGTGAGTTTCAATAAACGATTTTCATGCAGCATTCATTTGAAAAAAAAAAATGTACAATTAATCTTTGGAAAAAAATGTACATCATCATATTGTTAATATTCTTTTCCCAAATTTAGAACACTTAATTTAATAAACTGCGCTTTATTGTATAAATGTGCAGGCATTTTTCTTATAGTGTCAAATTACCGGAAAACATTCGATGTTGAGAGTTTACAGTGACATGTAGTGGGTACGTGAACTTAAATTTTCTTTATCCAAGATATCAAGAAAAAAATCTTTTCTTCTTTATTTCTCATCGTTTATATATCTTCTGTTCCCAAATTTAGAAAACTTTTCTTAAATTTATTTCCCTCTTTTATATAAATGTGCATTTTTCTCAAAGTGTCAAATAACCGGAAAGCATTCGATGGCGAGAGATAACTTTGGGCACGTGAATTTATACAAGAGATCAAGAAAAAATATCGCTTCTTCATCTTCATATTAACATGTATTACTTTTGTAAACAATGTCTTTCTTTTTAATTTTCATACATGTATTTCTCGATTTTCATGTTCAATAAATAAGATAGGATGTAAGCAGGTATGATGATAAACTTCACAGAAGAAATTAAATTAAAGGGGGGTGGGGGGTATTACACTTAAATTTTTAATAAATATTCAATGCAAAAAATCAAATACTTTCGTCTTCTTTGACAAATTCTGTTTCTTTGTGTATTTAGTATTAGCCGCGATCATTTCCTGTGTATAGGGATTAGCAGTGTCAGAGCAAGAAACGGCATGCCCTGGGGGTTTCACACGTGTCCTAGAGTACCTTGGGTAACGCTCGCTGAATGTGCACATCGCTGTCTAGCCATTCAACACAACTTTTGATTCAATGTTTCATTATTATTTCATCGATATCATTTTCAAATGCGATAATAGCCTTGAAATTTGTTTCAATATATTGTTGTTGTTTTTTTAAACGGAGTGTATAAAGAGAATAAAAGAAAAAAAAAACCCAAACTTTTAAAACAAGTTAATAAAGTATTTGATATTAATTAAATAAAATAATGATCTATTACTATGTTATTTATGTGTCTGTTTATACCTGTACCAGTTAGTACATTGAGAGAGAGAGAGAGAGAAGAAAAATATCACAATATTAAGGCACGCGCATGATCGTTTTTCCTTGTTTTGATCAGTATATGGATGTCTAAAGTCTATCGAATAAAACTAAATTAAACATGATATAATTTTAATGAAATTGCTTGCGGATAAGATTTTGTTAAATTCCATACAGATACATGTAGATCTTGCGGCCGCTGATTTATCAGTTTATTGACCATTTGTGGATTTTGTCTAAGTTTAATTGTTATTTGCCGAGAGACTTATTTATTATCCACTTTCTTCTTTCGTTTAGCATACATGACGTGTAATTTGAATTACTTCCCCTTTTGTCGCCAGATTACAACGACAGATTTTGGTGGTAAAATAAAATGTATTTTTGTTACAACATTTGATTAAGAAAAACACAGTATATTAAAATTGTCGAATTATTGAAAATATGTATTTAAAAGAAAGAATTTAAAAAGGATTCTGTCTGTAACAAAAACATGCTTTATTTCATGCATTTCAATTCATGAGCTACACATGAAAAAAACGGCTTCGTTTTACAATGTCGTAGGAAAACGCATACAGGTAATACACTCAGGTAACATCCTGTGTATATATAGGTATCTATACTATACACAAGCCAGCGTCGTTCTCTTGGGGCTTCTCAGCTGCTTCGAGTAAGCTCCACTCCACACCAAACTTACCTGAGGAAAACCGAACGATTACACAGACACCTGAAAACTTGAAGCATGGCAACTTGCTGATTAAAAATAAGTTAATTTCTGTGTTGTGTGTTCAAATTATTTAAGGGCCCATATTTGTGTTTGTGTTTTATTTGAACCGGAGACATTGCATTTCATACCCGAAATTTGTTCCTGTTCATAGGCATGATTTTAGTAATTTTCGAAAAGAGCAGAAAATAGAACTACAGTCAAATACTAGCTATAAAATTATTGGTATTCTGAATAGAATGACTTGTGATTATTTCATTAACAATACCCCCTCCCCCCCCAAAAAAATGTCGATATTTAGTTCATAGTCTTACAGTGTAGCGCATAATAATGGGGCAACATGCCGGAATTTCTACACTTACGCGTGTTTTGTTTAATTTTAATTGTAATTATGTATCACTATCTATCATCGTTTTTCATGCTATTATTTATAACAGACATGTACACAGTAGTAAATGTATTTTTTTTTAAATGAAACCAAATGACTGTGATAGAATCTCACTGATAAATAAATACATACATGTAGCTACATGTAACTGCAACTGCACGGGCTAATTGTGAACACCGGATTATAGTGCTTATAAAAAGAAGCGATATCATGGCATTCTTTGAATTTTAATTACACCTTTTTAGCAATTTGAAGATCATTCGAGGTGGCATTATTGATTTTAAAAATAAATATATTCGATAAATTATTCGACTTTATTTCATCCTATACATGTATTACTGTTAACAGACGTGTTTGAGAATTTAATTAATTTTGAGTGACTATTGGTACAAAAAAAAGATGTTTTTTATTAAACAATTTGATAAAACTTTAAAAATAATTTTTAAAGAATCCATGTAATGGTATATATCTATAATATTAATGTGGTCGTAATCTTAAATCCCCCCCCTTTTCGACACTATTAAAAATCGACAAGACTTTACAGGTAAGAACATCTAAGCTGAAGAATAACGGTAGCTGGCCCCGCCGTGGTGTAAACACGGTCTCAGGTAGCACCGCGATCAAAACCCGCGACGGTGTAACGCGGAAAGGATCAATACACCGCGGAGGGGACGCGATCTAATACAGGATCCGCATTGCCTGTACTGTAGGATTAGGAAAATGTCATTCCAAAATAACAGTTTGAGAAATCAGGTTTGATGTAAATTTTCAATAGACCAGAATGCACAAATGAAGTCACATATATGCAATTAAAATGGTTTGGATATGCTTTTCTCATCTTAACAAAATTGAACAAAAAGCTTGGTCATTATGTAAGTGATTAGTGGTAATGCTTTGCAGTCACCTGTTGCACTGCCAGTGTGCTATCCATCTCTTCAAATGCCTCATCACTCCAATTACACCAGTCCTAAAAAAGACAGAAAAATCTTAACATGGAAAGCACAATGGCATTCATATTTCAGTCTATACAACAAAGGAAGGTCCAGTCCAAAGATTATTTCTACCTACGTACTATTAATAGCTTTGTAAGTATTTAAACCTGCCCAAAGTAGCTATTTTTACCTACTGTTTGCTTTACTTTCATTTTGTGGCCAAAGGCAGGAACGGCGCAATTCGACGAGCACCAAATTTCTTGATACAGTCACACTAATGAAGAATACAGCAAAATTTTGGTCAAAAAATGAATACTTCGTTAATAAGCAATTTTGCATAAATTAGGATGCAAAATTGTTAATTTACGAAGTAATAATTTTTTTGGCCTAAATTTTGTCGTAATCATCAGCAGTATGACTGCATTATTAAATTTGGTGCTCACCATATTGCGCCATTCCTGCGTTTGGCCACCAAATGCAAGCAAAGACTGGACCTGATGGGTACTGGAAGTTTGAAATACAGAATAACAGAATGACTGATTCTTTTCCAATTTCTACGGACTTAATTAAACAAAAATAAAAATAGTTATTGCACTATAAACTTTTTATTGTTATAAGATAGACTAGCTACAACAAAAGACACAAATCAAAACAAACAAAATCTGTCAGATAATTTTTCAAAACAGAAGAAATTCGAGATCAAAACCATAGAGAGTTTCGAACTTTGACGTCAAACATTTACCAATCATTATTTTTCTCGTAATCTTTTAAATACTTCAAAACATTATAAGCATGTCAAATCATTCTTAGCTCACTTCAGTCTTTGTTCCTGGGCGATTTCGACGCAGAACCGCTGAACTACTGTCAGCCATTTTCATTTTCATTGCGAGGAAAGGTGAAGGTCAACAAACTGCAAAGCTTAGATAGCTGTTACAATAGAATGTCGGAATAGCTCGATACCTTTTACACAAGTCCCCTGACTTACAGTAAGTAACGGAAAGTCATGATTAGCTTTCTTTTATCTGACATGGCCAAAATTTAATTTATTATAATAGGAAGAATTGAATCCAACGTAATCAACACTACTAATCTGAGTCCAGAAATAAATTATTTTGCTATTTTTTTATAAGAGTAAAGAAACATGAAAGTCGAATTAATCCAGTGGCATCAACTTAAAACAAGAGGCCCAGGGGCCACATCACTCACCTGAGCACATCGGCAAGGAAAAAGCACAAATCAGATCAGAATTGAAAAGTTTACAGGGGGGGGGGGGATTTTAATACTATTTGAGAATGCCTCCATATCAATACAGCATATTCTCAGTAACTTATTTGCCGTTCTTGAGAAAAAAGTTTTTAAAGATTTTTTTTCACATTTTGTTTGTATATTTTACTTTGTTATAATTTGAATTTGATTCCCCATTGTTTCACTCATGATTTGAACAATTTAAATCTTCAATACATGATGATGCTAATACATGTCAATATGACTAAACATATAGGTTTTCTGTTAAATCTTAGGATTTTCCCCTTTATTTTCCTATTGTAACAGTCTGTAATCCACCATTGAGACCCCACCCTATCCTTGGGGGTTATGATTTGAACAAATATATAATCATTACACTATATCTGAGGATGCTTCATAATAAAAATATCACCATATTATCATGTTTTTGCTATTCTTGAGAAGAACATTTTTTTTTTTATATTTTAATGTAAAACTTGGATCCCCCATTGTGGCCCCACCCTACCCCTGGGGGTTATGATTCGAACAAACTAAAATATACACTTATACCTGTGGATGCTTCCATTTAAATATCACTAATCAAGGCTTTGCAGTACTTGAGAAGATTTTAAAAGATTTCCCTCCACATTCCTATGTAAAACTTTGATTTGCCATTGTGGCCCCACTCTACCCCCGGGGGTCATGATATGAACAAACTTGAATCTATACACTACCTGAAGATGATTTCACATGAGTTCATCTTTAATTCCTGTCTCAATAGTTCCTGAGAAGAAGATCGATTTTTAAAGATTTTTCCTATATATATTCCCATGTAAAAATTTGATCGGCCATTGTAGCCCCATCCTAACCCCGGGGATCACGATTTGAACAAATTTAAATCTACACTACCTGCATGAGGATATTGATTTCACACGAGTTTCATCTTTCCTGTCTCAATGGTAAATCTTGAGAAGAAGATTTTTAAAGATTTTTCCTACATATTCCTATGTAAAACTTTGATCAGCCATTGTGGCCCCACCCTAACCCCGGGCGTCATGATTTGAACAAACTTGAATCTATACTGCCTTAGGATGATTCAACATAAGTTTCATCTTTCCTGTCTCAATGGTTCTTGAGAAGAAGATTTTTAAGATTTTTCCTTTATATTCCTTAGTTAAAATTTGATCAGCCATTGTGGCCTCACACTAATCCTGGGGGTCATGATTTGAACAAATTTAAATTTACACTACCAGAGGATGATTTCACATGAGTTTCATCTGCCCTGGCCCAGTGGTTCTCGAGAAGAAGATTTTTAAAAAATGCCATTAATTTTCACAAATTCATAATTATCTCACCTTGGAAGAGGGTGTGGCCCTTCATTTGAACAAACTTAAATCCCCTTTACCTAAGGATACTTTGTGGCAAGTTTGGTTGATAGTGGCCCAGTAGTTCTTGAGAAGAAGATGAAAATGTAAAAAGTTTACAATTAGACTACAGAAAACGGAAAAATTTTGATCAGAAAAGCTGACACTTGAGCCTTCAGCTCAAGTAAGCTAGCTAAAAATCGGCTATGAATTGATTCTATACTGAAAGGAAAAAGAAACGCATATTAAGAACAATATATGTGAAATTTTGTTGACCAAGTGGCCGAAAATTATGAAAATTGGTCAAATGTGTATTTTTGATACTTTGCACTAAAATCGCCGGTCAAAACTACTCAACTATGAAATGTATGGCGTCACGTAGGGGAAGTGTTAAAAAGCCAAAAACACGTGCAGGCTGATGATGACAATTTTATGATCACATTTTGTAGTGCCAATCGATGCATTAGAGTTATACACATCGTTTTCCGCATTTGCAATCAGTATAAATTTTCTTGCAATCATGGTATGGCTGACAGAAGTTACACTGGGTCCAGTAATTGAATTGCATAAGTGAATAAAAAGGCAACAACTTGTTGCTGTGCAGTTTGTTTTAAACTTTTCAACAAAAAAGGTTTTTTCAGTTGTCAGAGAGTAACATAAAAGGTTTCCAACTAACCATGGCAGTGACGTTGACGCGTTAAACAACGTCACATCAAGATTGGGCTTTTCATCATACCACCTCGGTTATTGTTGATACATTATCACTGAAACCAATAGTTATACACCCTAAATTGACAGAAAATCTCTACTCTAATTTGGTCCGCGAGCTTGGCAAATTTTATGTCGATTTTACTCTCACACGCGCACGTACGCGTCGTATGCGTACATGTAATGTTTTTAGCATGTTCACACTGGAAAAATGAAGCCGGTGTTTGTCGAGACTTTCTTACAAACATTCAAGTGTACGAAACCAGCTGGATTCTATAAATTCTATCCTAAAACGAAAATTCGTGGCATTCATTTGGCGGGGGGATTTGTTGGCTTTTGAATAATACAGCTCCTCTCAACCATTAAGACTACCGTCGGAAGGCTTGAATAATAATCCTAAGAAAAAGACAAATGCTCTGGTGAACTCAATGCACAGGAAAATCAAGGCTGTTACCAATGTGCAAGGGAGATGATGAGAATTTTTATTTTAATTTTGGGGGGTATCGACATATAAATTTCAATAATTCAGGAATTATCAGTCAAAGTCACGCAAGATTTTGGTAACTTATTGATTAAAGATGAATTAAAATGTTTGATAACTATACTGGAAAACATTTTCGAAATAATAGTTTTAATTTAATTTAAAAGTTTAATATGCGTTTCTTTTTCCTTTCAGTATAATTATATACACTGTATTTCTTTCAAGGAAATTTCTCTTCTTTTTTCAAGGCCATAGAAACCTTTGAGAGGTAGACCCCCCATATTTTGCCGATATAATATACCGGTATAATTATATGCTGTACAAAATAGAAAACATGACTTTTTTGCCCCATGGAACATGTGAAAAAAAGAAGAACATATTTATAATAACTATTACTTGTGGAATCCAGATTGGGCCATCTAGTTCAATACAATAAAATATACATGCAATATATTGATTTTTACATAAATTATATCTATATCTCATGTATGTAAAAATATAAGGAAGACCAGTCTAATTATTTGGTTTTATGATGTGATCAATCGATTAAAGCAAACAACTGATCACTGGCCTTCATGAAACCAAAAAATCTGACGATAGTTATTCCTAATTTTTACATGCTAGCTCTTGATTTCGCAAATTCACATGCTACAAGCCCTGCTTCTGTCTCTATTTGTTCTGCCCTGCACGTGATTTTTTTAAACACGCCTATCTAGGACAAAAATCTTAAGGAAATGTCCCTGTAAAGAATAAATTTCTTTTTGCAGAGCAAGCATTTACTTGTTATCTGTTACTGTGTTAAGGAGATACATGTACGAAACTTACCTTATACCTACTGTTTATTTTTCAAGATAGTCTTAAGGTGTAACATCCCTCTGAAAAGAGAGATAACTTTCTGTGGACATTTTTCCATAAAATTCAATAAATTGATTACAGAGTTTATTAATGAGGACCATTTCATAGTCAACTTATTCAAATATGATCTATAATTATGCCCCCCTTCGAAGAAGGGAAGGCATATTGCTTCGCTGCTGTCTGTCTGTCTGTCGGTCTGTCGGTCCACTTAGTTTCCGTTCATTTTTTTTTGCAACCATTTCTCATACTGAAATGAAATTTGGTATACAGATATATCATATGAATATCTAGGTCAAGTTCTGTTTTGGGTACGGTCGCATCATTTTTGACAGAGTTATGCCCCTTGGAAAAATTTCAATTATTTGCAGTTTCCGTTCATTTTCTTCGCAACCGTTGTACAAACTGAAATGAAATTTGGTATAGAGATATATCACATGAATATCTAGGTCAAGTTCAGTTTTGGGTACAGTCCCACCATTTTTGACAGAGTTATGCCCCTTGGACTTACAAAGAACTTCAATTATTTGCAGTTTCCGTTCATTTTCTTCGCAACCATTGTACATACTGAAATAAAATTTAGGGTACAGATTTTTCAGATGAATATCTAGGTCAAGTTCTGTATTTGGTACAATTGCGCCATTTTTGATAGAGTCATGCCCCTTGGACTTAGAAAAAATTCCAATTATTTGCAGTTTCCTTTCATTTTCTTTGCAGAAGTTGCACAGACTGAAATGATATTTGATATACAGATTTATCAGATAAATGTCTTGGTTAATTTCTGTTTTGGGTACAATCCGGCCATTTTTGACAGAGTTATGCCCTTTTGGACTTGGAAAAATTCCAATTTGGGGGGAGGGGGGCATAAGTGTTTTACAAACATCTCTTGTTGTTAATGCATGTGTTTATTTCTAGTTTCGATTCCTAATATTATACTTAATTATTTATGATGTATAGACTTTAAACTGTGAAAATTGAGACATTTCCACTCCCACTCCCTTCCTACTCCCTCACTCTCCCCACTCCCACTCTCCCTCTCTTTCCCACTCTCCCCACTCCCTCTCCTTCCCACTCTCTCCACTCCCTCTCTCCCCACTCTCCACTATTATACTTACTTATTTATGATGTATAGCCTTTAAACTAAAATTGAGACATTTCCACTCCCACTCCCTCACTCTCCCCACTCCCCCTCTTTCCCACTCTCCCCACTCTCCCCACTCCCTCTCTCTCCACTCTCTCTCCTTCCCACTCTCCCCACTCCCTCTCTCCAATTCCTCTCTTCTACTCCTCCA